GCAGACACCCCATCTCTATCGCTCGGGGTGGCAGGTTTGGCCCCATCCATGCTATGGGGTGAGAAAGCCATCGGGGAGCAGGTGGCTGAGCCAGCCCCGAGTGGTGCAAATAGGAAGGGGGTAGGTTTTAGCATTACCTCTGGCAACCCGCGGTCCCCAGTGGGGGCCAAAGAAGATGTTTCTGCATCCCAGCCTGCTCTGGGCACATGGAGTGACGCTGGCAGCTGTGGCGGATGGAGGACACAGGAGGTGGCAGATGAGGGGGTGTGTGGAAGGATAAACGGTGATGGCTGTGTGGGTGGAGGGAGAGGCCAGATCCAGCATCGAGGAGGACACAGGGCAGTGGGAAGGGCCACCGAGGGCTACCATGAGGTGTCTGAGGACCACGGTCTGGCTGGGCTGCCCAGCGATGCTCCTGCACACTGCGGCAAACCTCCCTGCTGCCCAGAGGTCTGAGGCTCAAACATCATGTCCAATCCCAAATTGTGGATAGCAACTGGGGGCTCAGCATCACTAGCAGCCAGGCCCTCTCCCCCCACAACCCGGCTGAACGTGGTTGCTGTGTCTCACTGCCACATCCATGCAAAGAAATCACTAAAAAAATACAGGGCAGCTCTGCTTTAAGGGTACCTTAAACTCAAGCTTGCAATTTTACCACTGCCTTAGCATATTGATCTGGTATCAAGAACTCCCCTAAACCATTGCCATGACATTACCCTGTGTTCTGTACCTCCCCCAGCAACCCTATGGATCTGGCTGAGCCCCCAGGGGCACAGCGTGGCTGGCTGGGCAATGCTCAGGGCCGGAGCAGCTCACTGGTGGGCCCCAGCACACAGACGCTCCACGAGGGTCAGGCACAAGCTAACTGAATGCATAACTTTATTAAATAAATGCTTTGTCATGAGAAAAGACAAAGATCAAAGAGTAACATAAATTATAAGTTGAATAAATAGTATACAGCAATCTTCACTTTTTAATAAAATGTGAGATTTTTTTTTTTTTTAAGTACAAAATGCTAAACAGAGCATTAAGCTCTTCTTCCATTGTCAGTTTTTCACAAACTGCTTTTTTTTTTTCCCACCAGTAAGATTATGAGTATTTCTTGTTTACTGGAAAAAAAAAACCCACAACAAAAACAAAACAAAACGAAACAACAGAGCTACCGTATGTATGTAAAGCTATAAAAAGCTACCGTAAAATGTGTAGTGAGTATTGCTTAAAGATAAAAACCAGGCAGGAAACTCGGAATCCGGTGTGTTTTAACAACTGTGTTACAACGGTGGGTAACGTGCGCGGTGATGTCTGTCCCAGTGGCAGTGGCAGGGGGCTGGTGGGGCTGGGGAGGG